GAGATAATCTGTCTCGGAAGACCATGCTGTGTCCATACCCTCTCATAGAAGGTACGGGCAAGATCGGATGCTGAGAACTCATTGGTGATTGCAAAGAAATGCGCTCGTTTGGTCAAATGATCGACAACTACCATAATTGCGTTGAATCCATGGGATTCTGGTAATTGAGTGATTAAGTCGACAGAGACAATTTCTCAAGGTTCTGTTGGAACCTCATTTGGCTGTAATTCTCCATATTTTGGTTGATTGATGTTCTTGTTGCGCTGACAAAGGTCACAAGAACCAACATACTTTTTGACGTAAGTGGACATTCCCGGCCATCAGTAATTACGAGATAACATCTCATATGTCTTCCATCTTCCAGGATGACCTGCACTGGCAGCTTCATGATGACGCTGGACGATTTCTCGTCTAAGTGATTCCTTATTATCTGCTTTCGGCACATAGACTTTGCCTCGGTATAGTAATATCCCACTTTCGAAGTTCCAGTCTTCGAGTCCTTTCGAGAACTCTCGTTGTCCCTTCTTGAGTAGTTCTTGATATGAGTTGTTCACATTGTCGTCTTGTAACGCCTTCTTGATCTTGTCCACCAAATCATGATCTGTGACGACTGCAAGATGGGTATGTTGAATAGCTTTAATCGCGAAATATTCCAGTTTGAGCAGAGTTTTGTCAGAATTATCGAGATTTACCCCCTCTTCATGATCTGGCCTCCTGGACAGAGGATCTGCACGATGCATTGATTTTCCTGGTTTGTGATGTAGTTAGATGTTGAACCGTGTAAGATATAACGACCATCGAGCTTGCCGTCTCGTCAGCTTCTGTGCTGATTTGAAATAGGTTAAGTTCTGGTGATCAGACCATATTTCGACTGGGAGCGGATGACCTTCGAGATGTTGTCGGTATTCTTCCAATGCTCGAATGATTGCGAGCATCTCTTTGTCATAGATTTCATAGTTCCGCTCAGCCTCATTGAGGCTTTTCGAATAGAATGCGATTGGATGCCACAACCCATCGTCTTTGAGTTGTTCGAGGCATGCGTCAGTGGCAAAATCACTGGAATCCATTTCTAACCGGAATGGATGCGTATCATCCGGTAACGCCAGAATTGGAGCTGTTGTGAAAGCCTTTTGAGAGCATCGAATGATTGTTGTTGCTCTTCGCTCCATACCCATTTCTGATCCTTTTGTGTAAGGATTTTGAGTGGTCGAGACTTTTTGGCAAATCCTTCAATGAATCGACGATAGAAATTTGCGAACCCAAGAAAAGCTTGTACTTGCTTAACCTTCTTGGGTTCAGGCCAGTCGAGTACACCTGCGACCTTTTGAGGATCCATACGGACCTCGCCTTGAGAGATAATCAT